CTTGGTGTCTGCGGAGTTGTTCCTCTCACATTTTCTCACACCTGTCTCTGACTGCAAAAACTGCTTCTAGTTTTGTTTTGGGTTTTGTTTTTTTTTTTTTTCCAGTGGGTGGTTTGTTGTTGTTGGTTTGGTTTTGGGGTATTTTTTTTTCTTCCTTCTTAACTCTGTTATCTCAGAGGCACTACCACCGTTGCTGATTGGCTTGGCCTTGGCCAGCAGTGGGTCTATCTTGGAGCCGGCTGGCATTGGCTCTATCAGACACAGGGAAGTTTCTAGCACCTTCTTGCAGAAGCCGCCCCTGTAGTTCCCCTGCCCCCACTACCAAAACCTTGCCACACAAACCCAATACACCTTTAATACTGGCTTTCGTGTTAAGCTTTAACATAGCAGGGGATTTTCCTGGTGTTTGAGATATGACAGATCAGTGCACTTATTAGTACACACACTCCTCTGCATGTTTTCATGAGGCTGCCTGGGCAAGTTGACCACAAGGGCCAAGCACGGCCAAGCCCAGGACTAAGCCTCCAGCTTAAAAGCTCTTAACTGATATACTACAAACTGTAAATGCAAAGAGGTTCCTCTCCAGGTTTAAATTTTGAGTCCTGGGCTATCTGCTGCTTTTGTGAAGCAGTTGCAGTCTGGTTAGCTTTCCTCCCTGCCTCTCTTTACTTCTGAGCTGTTCTCTGTCTCTGTTGAAGATGGAAATGAGACAGAATGCTCCAAGTCCCTTTGTGTAGGGTTTATGGCACGATTTTGCAGGCGGTATGTGATGCAGGCATGAATCACGGCTCCCTTCAAGGTACCGCTGTATTCGATTCCCTGGCTCTTCCATCTGACTCAGAACAGGCTGTGGATTTTTGTTTTTAATCTAAGCAATAGCCAGTTTCTCCAGAGATGAGTATTTACTGACTGCTGCTGCTGTTCTTATGCTCAGAATTGCAAACCCCTTGGAAATCGAGGCCAGCTTGTGCATGTGTGTACAAACCTGGTTTCAAATCTGGCTTGGATTCTCTCTTCCAGCTCAGCAAGTGACTGACATGTTCATTTTAGCATAGCTTCCTCCCGAGACAAGCTGTGGGCTGTGCCAAAGTGCTGTGAGGCGTTCGCTGCCTGTTCGGTCGCACACCGGAGGCAGATTTTGCAGCACCCTGGAGACAGGGGTGAGATGAGGACAGTAGCGGCCATGATTCAGAGCTGCTTTGCATTTTGGTCTTGCTAATAGATAATACTGAAAAATTTTATTTGCAGTGAACTGAGATGCAAATCAGATCCACTTCAATAATGCCCTTGTGTTATTGAAGTTATTTGAAAGAAATCACTAAACCAGTACAGCTTCAGTTCAGATTCAGGTGTGGCTGAGGTTGTTGCAGTTCAATCCCTAATCATCCATTAAGGGGACTCATAGTGAAAAATACACCATTTAAATACAGAGATGTCTATGTGATGGTCGCAACAGCTAGTACCAGCCACAGAAATGCTTCTGCTCGTCTCTCCTTTATCTCTGGTGGGGCCTCCTCATCGCTTGTGTTTCCAGGGCTGTCCTGCAGCCTGGCTCTTGGCTCCTTCGGTTGGGCAGACTGGGTTTTGGGGGCTGTGGCTCTGTGCTGGGAACAAGAACGGTGAAGGCAGAGGGGGGGACAGGGGGAACTTGTGTTCTGTCATGCTGTGGACATACGAGGTGAACAGGTCTCCGTGCATTATTCTACCATGGTAATCAAGGAGAGGTTTGGTTTTCCCTGCTTGTTTGCTTATTTACTGTTGGGATCCAACATAAACTTTAACATGGAGGAAGAAAAAGCTATGGGTGAAAGTGGCTTTCAGTTTAACTTTCTTGTTTGAAATACAAAGCCTGATGCAGACCAGCCTCTGCAGATAGCCCTGGCTTTGATAACTGGCAAGAGCATTTCTAATTTAAAAAGTCTCCTTTCTCTTCCTATTAGTTACTCCTCTAAGCAAAGCAGCTGGCGTGACCTGGGCATGTTGTACTTTTATTGTTGCTGTGAGACAATAGCTCAGCCTGAGGGAAGAAGACAACCTACTTTCCATATCCTCTGGGAGTTGTTGCAGTGGGACTCTGTAGAAAGCAGTGTTTCTCTGAAGCTTACTGAGACTATCTGAGAGTCTGAGGAGTTAACCCATGAGATGTGGGAGATCAAAGAGCTGAACTGAGGGCTATGTGTCCATGGGAGACAGGGTTTGGTCTCCTCAGCAGAAGTGGCTGGTGTCATATGGGTTCCTGTATGCAGCCTCCACCTCTGTATCTTCCCCAGACAGAGCAGGGATATTCCTGC